GGCATCCATTCTCGGCATCGAACTGACACGATCGTCGCTTCACCTGACATCACGATTTCCATTTTCGCCAAAACGATCACCACGATAACCACCACCTATAGTTGAGTTGACCACCGCATTTTAGTGTGATCGTTCAACGAAACGCATAGTGGGAGAAGAAGAATTTTCCAAGTGATTGGCATGACGATTCCGATTACGAAGTTGGTTCATTCTTTGCTCTTTCGAGTAATAACATAGATATGGTCTAAAAAAAAGTGGGCAGAGACAAACGAAGACAGATGAGACTAACAATGTAGTCAAACTTCGAGGAGAGACCGTTGATGGTGTAAGTAATTAGATTTTTATTGGGAATAGTGTTATCAATGTTGTCGAGCAAATCAACCATTGTCTTGATTTTGGTACAGTATTCAATGAGACTATAGTCGTTGATGGTAATGTTGCGCATCTTAATTTCGAGTTGTATTGCTTTAGCATTTGGTTATCACGGAACATGTTTCAGAGTTCTTTTGTACTTGCTCTTTTGTACCTGACGGACAGTCGTGTTTTTCTTCAAGATCATATGAAGAAGATATCGAGATATTGTGCCATAGATCCACATCTTGAAAATGGAATCAATTTGACTCCATTCAGTCTTATCGGAGGCTGCATGGGCTTTGTCGTTTGGTTCGTCAAGGTGATCAAAGACACCGAATCTATTTCAATGAGTCTCAAAAAGTTCACGACATGCATCAAAATTTAAGTGGTTTAGATAAAGAATAAAGGGAATATACCATTTTATGTTCGTAATTCCATAGTTTTTTTTCAGAAGACATGATAAGGAAGGGTCAAAGAAGATTGAAGATGATAGAAAAAGAGGGAGAAGGTCCACGTCGGCAAGGAAGAGCCGGCGGCTAGATCACATCGGTAAGAGAGAACTGGCTGGCTAGGTTACAAGACTTGGAGTGGAAGAAAGAGAACAAGTGTGGAAGGTTGAGTTGAAGCTCAAGGGGTGGCAAGATAAAGATCACCAGTACTATTGGTCAAGAGTTGAAGAAAGAGCCGACGGCTGAATCACATCGGTAAGAGAGAGCTGGTGGCTAGGTTACAAGACCTGGGGTGGAAGAAAGAGAACAAGTGTGGAAGGTTGAGTTGAAGCTTAAGGGAGTGGCAAGATAAAGATCGCCAGGACTGTTGGTCGAGAGTTGAAGAAAGAGAACAACACATTAGCAAGATAAAGCTCAAAATTGGAAACTTTTCTTAGTTTTAATTGAAGTCTTTTTTTCCTTGCACTTTAGAATTAGACTAGGACTCTAATTTGTCTAGTATAAATAGGACCCAATCATATGGTAGTTTTATGTATTCAGAACCCTTTTATTAGTTTTATTCTTGTTCACAAAGTAACTGTTTTTTTGTTTCAATTCTCTCCAACCTAATTAAACTTACACTAGGTATCAGAGAAAATGTTAAAGAGGGCTGGTTTGAGAATCGACTGTCGAAGTGGATGAGCCTTCGGGTGTGGAGTTGCCATCGCAGCGGAAGCGGGGTGTTTGGCAACAATTTTTTTTTTCTGCGGGGAGCAGCAAACTGAAGGTTTAATCGCACAAAATGGTTCGGGACAACATGGGATGTTTCGAGACTGATTTATAGCAAAAGAAGGAAACGGTAAAGTGTTTTCAAGGTCGACTATTGTCGTGGGGAGACGGGAAGCACCGTTCGGGGTGACGGGGGTGACCGGTGATAAACATAGGTGGTCCATGGTTGTTAGTTACGATCAAAGAATGGTTTGTATCAAGACGATTTTGCAAGGAGTGCTACTGTCTGGATTTTGCAGTTCTTGAGCGGTTTGTTTGTGATAAGGGGATACTGGCGTAGGTGCGTGAAAAGCGGGCAAGAATGATCCATCAAAGTAAGTGTCTTTGGATTCAGTTTGTTTGGCAGGTCGAAAGGAAACGGTGAAGTGGGTGGCTTTGTTTTCTTGGTCGGTGGAGATGCCTCTTTGAACAAAGGTGATTGAAACAAAGGAAGAGATTGGAGAAACCACACGGTGTGAACATTATGGGGTTGGAGTTCAAATTGGGTGGCTTTGGATGTGGCCAAGGAAGATGTCGTTGATCCGGAAAAGTTACACAGAGGTGTGTCTTCCCGTTCAACAAATCCATGATTATCTTTGGTAAGTTTCCAAAGGGGAATAAGTTCTTGATGATGTGTAGTGTATAAAAGACAATATGTAGACCGTTGTTGAGTATGTTGAGATAGGACTCACCTGATCCTTGTAGTGGATTTGCATACCGTTTCCAACATAAATAGTCCAATAGTGCTATTACGAGACAAATTTGAGAGCTACCTTGGTTAAATGTGAAGTGAGAAGTTAGTTTCGTGTCCATATACGACTCATTGTCTGAAGCTCGTAGGCCGGAAAGAATGCGCTAGATTTCTCACTTTTAAAAGGTGGTAATGGATTGTTAACCTTCGGTGGATAAGTATCGTCTATGTGATGCATGATTTTGTGTAGTAGAAACAAAACAAAAATATAAATATATCTTTTATTCAATAAAGGTAAACAATAGAATTAATCAAAACAAAATGCTAAATGTTTGATTGCCTGACATATATGGGTTGTTAATCGGCTAAGGAACTGTGTTTACTTGGCTTTCCAAGATGACAAAGGTGGAGTATTGGCATTGTTCCAATTGGATTTCATTACTGCATCTGGATATCTCTCACCCTTCACACTAGACGCGATTGTTTCCAAGTCATCCATGTCTTGATGTGTCAATTTCACAGATACAGCTCCAATATTTTCCTTAAAGTTCTCAATTTTAGTAGTGCCAGGTATGGGACTTACATCATCCCCCTGCTGTAGAACCCACGCTAATGCTAGTTGTGAAGTCGTGCATCCCTTCTTTTTTGCCATTTTGTTTACCCTTTCCAACAAAATCATGTTCTGCTCCAGATTCTCACCCTGAAACTTTGGTATATTCTGTACAAGACAATGAACACTGATCATGAGTCAACCACAAAATCATATGAGCTATCAAGATGTGATTGTGAGTCTACAAACCCTGCGGAAGTCACCAAGGGCAAGGTTTTCAGCAAGATTTAGACCAGAGGAGAAGAATCCTTTTCCGAGAGGGGAATATGGAACAATCCCAATACCAAGTTCTCTGAAAAATTTCAGAATTTAAAATACAAAAAAGTATAGTTAAGCTGTTAGAATAAAAATATGATTGAAAATGGATGAAGAGAGTTGCCTGCAAGTGGGAATAACTTCTTCTTCAACATCTCTTGTCCACAACGACCATTCAAGCTGAACAGCAGTTATTGGATGAACAGCATGTGCCCTTCTAATGGTTTCAGGAGAAGCTTCAGAAAGACCTATGTATTTTATCTTACCTTCCTCAACTAGCTCCTTCAGTGCTTCCATCTAGTAACATTACAATATTAAAAGAATTAATTTCCGTTTTTACATCTTGTTTTCTGATATTTTCATTATCAATCATAAACCGTGAATTTGGTTGACATGTTGCAGGATTTAATTTGAAGAGGAAGGAAGAAGGAGAAACCGTTAGTTCAATAGGAATGGTTGTATCAATCCGATGAACATAATAGAGATCGATGAAGTCAACTCCTAGCCGCTTCAAGCTACCGGCGCAAGCTTCCTTAACATAAGTAGGATCGCCGGTCACCGCCAGCCCTTCTGCAAGTGACATTGACGTGATCCCAAATTTGGTAGCTAACTGTACTTTTTCTCGTCTTCCTCCTTTCAAAGCCTGTCATAATCAACATTTAGAATCGATCCATGCTGTTATTTCAAAATCATAACCAAGTTCACACACACACACATGAAATGATGAAATGTAGTTTAGACCTGGCCGATTAGGAGTTCGTTGGCGTGAGGACCGTAGACATCGGAGGTGTCGAGGAAGGTGACGCCTGAATCAATGGCGGTGTGTAGGAGTTCGATCATCTCTTGTTGTGATTTGGGGGTTTGGGACATACTCATACATCCTAATCCGATTGCTGATACCTGTAAGCCTTGGCATCCGATCTTTCTTGTAGGCATTACAACTGCTTCTCCCATTTTTACTCTGTTTATGTTACCTTCTACACAAACCTATTGAAAGTTTGGAATTTATTCAAAAAAAATGTTCCTATGAACTGAAGTGCTTACGCCATATCCAAGAAATACACTAGTTTTTCTGAAAAAAACAAAAAGGCATCTTTGAGAATGTCTTATTATCTAACGAATTTACATGTTTGTATTTGTTTATGAACTAACATTGAATTTTGAGAAATTTACAAAAATAACCTAATTCCACAATTACTTTGCAAAAAATAGCCAAAACTTAGGGTTTATCCAAAATAGCAAGGTTGCAGAAATCGGGATTAATCGGCGATTAATAGTGGATTAATCATTTAGCATTCTCTAACCGTCGATGATTAGGGTATTAATCGGAAATTTATGATTAATCGGGTTTGACGGGATTAATTGGTCAACAAAAGTCAAAAAAGATCAAAAAAGTCAAAAAAAAAATTTCAAAATTTCAAAATTTCAAATATTATACTAAAATGTTCATATTTTCGTATTTTCAAATTTTCAAATTAAAAAATTTTTTACTTTCTAATTTTGAAGTACTTATTTTTCTTAAGATATATTAATATTTGATTAATTTTAATATTTTATTAATAATTTATGGTCCTCGATTAATCCACGATTAATCCCCGCCAAGACTGATTAATCCATTAACACCAGTTAACCGTCAAGCTACCGTCAAACGATTTTTACAACCTTGAAAAATAGACACCAGTGATGAAGCAAACACATGCAGTTTTATTAACATGTCTGCGGAATCGTCCTCTCGCCTACGATTTCATTGTGTGTGTGTGTGTATATAGCCATTTGCGGTTTCATCTCAAGTCGTCTGGGGTTTCCTCTGTCTACGAATGTACAAGTCGTTGACGCACATTCTGTGCAATAAATACTTGTACCATTGCATATGGCCATGGCATCTATGGTTTCATTCTTCATTTTTTCTGATCCATGTCCAAAGTTCATACACGTTACTTCCAAATTCCAACACATATAATAAAAAAAAAACTATATATAAGATTACTTAAAACATTGTTTTGTTGCACGTTTTCTTTAAGCCATCAGAGAAAGGTGATGTTAAGACTTGAACATGTAGACTTACGGATTCTCACATGCTTACGACAAAAAGCATACTCCAGTACAATACAAATACAAAAACAATACAAAAACGCACGTACTTATAACATATCTTCATAACCAAAAAAACCCAAATTAACAAAAATATTAGAGGCAAATTCATCTTGGGCTTATTTGGATTTCCATGAGGACAAGGGTGGAGTATCTGAGTTGGTATAACTATGAACCAAAAGAAATTCAGGCATTCGAGCACCCTTGAATGATATAGATTCAATCTCAGTCAAATCCTCAGCCGTGAGTTTAACTGCAAGGGCTCCAAGGTTTTGGTTCAAATTTTCAATCTTGGTTGTACCAGGGATGGGACCCACATCATCACCTTGGTGTAGGACCCAAGCTAGTGCCAACTGTGACGATGTGCACCCCTTCTTTTGTGCCAGTTCATTAATCCGCTCATATATAACCCTATTGTGGTCAAAGTTCTCTCCTTGCATCCTTGGTAGAATCTATAAAAGAATGCAAAAAAGAATAAGTGGAATGAATTGAACAAAAATCCAATGCTATAAAACTTAAAAGCACAAACCTTTCTAAAGTCGTTATCTGTCAGATTGTCCACCAACTTTGGACCTGATGCGAAGAACCCACTACCCAAAGGACCCCAAGGAACAATCCCAATTCCCAATTCTCTGAAAACAAAAATATACCAATCATCAACATTAAAGCTACAAATGGCTTGCTATATATCTCCTAATAATACTAATATCAGTAAATAATACTTCATCGATTACCTGCAGGTAGGAATAACTTCTTCTTCTGCATCTCTAGTCCATAAAGACCACTCCAGTTGTACAGCTGTTATTGGATGAACAGCGTGTGCTCTTCTGATGGTTGCAGGTCCCGCTTCTGATAGACCAATGTATTTTATCTTACCTTCTTCAACAAGTTTCTTGAGTTCTCCCATCTGTGAACACAATTCAACATAATCACTTAAGTTGTAATACAAATTCTTTTGATTCTTAAGGGAGATCCCGCATAGAAATTGGAGCAATTTTCATGGAATTTTAAACAGTTTATGAATAACTAGCTGAATCTGACAAACTAAGAAGGTAATGTATGCATAGTAACTTGAAAGAAGTGAAATAAAAGACGAACCGTGACTTCAATAGGGACAGTTGTATCGATGCGATGAACATAGTAAAGGTCGATGTAATCAACATCAAGCCGCTTCAAACTGGCTTCACAACAAGCCCTAACGTACTCCGGTTCTCCATGGACTTCCGCCTTATCAAAACTTTCTCCGAATTTGACTCCAAATTTCGTAGCCAATTGAACGTCCTCCCTCTTCACTCCCTTTAAAGCCTGTACAAATCACGAATTCACACATACAAATCAGTCAAAATTCACGCTCAAATTACACGGAAAGCTGCAAAATAGTAGCGAATTAACGATGACAACCATGAATTCATACACAAATCAGTCAAATTCGTTTTATAATAATACTGAAGCTACGAAATACAATAAATAGCGGTAATCAAATTACCTTGCCGACGAGGATTTCGTTAGTGTGAGGTCCGTAGACGTCGGAGGTGTCGAGATGAGTGACGCCGGAGTTGATGGCGTGGTGGATGACTTTGATCATCTCTTCTTCAGGTTTGGGAAGTCCATAGCCTTGAGACATGCCCATACATCCTAGTCCAATAGCTGAAACCTCTAGCCCCTGTGATCCGAGCTTAATTCTTCTCACACCTGACATTTTCTTCCTGCTCTTTTTGTTGATTCAAACCTTGTAAAGATGTTTAATTCTGTAGTATCTTAACAAAATCAAGTTAAGGAAAGCTGATCGAATACGTACTGCGATGCTAAATTCAGAGATTATGAGAGAGATCCAATATTTCAAAGAGTCGATCAATCGGTATGTGAATGTTTGTGGTTGCGACCATTCAAATACAGAAAGGAGAAGCAAGTGTGAATGGAAACGAAGAAAGTGAAGGCAGAATAAATAAATAAATAAATAAATAAAAATCTTCAATGGCGACTGGCGTTGACGGAGAAACGATTGTGCTACACTGCGACCATCGACATATATATATATATATATATATATATATATATATATATATATATATATATATATATATATATATATAGGTAGGTTCAAATGTTTCTCACATCTATTGTGTGCTAGAATGCATCAATAAGAATATATATATATATATATATATATATATATATATATATATATATATATATATATATATATATATATATATATAGAGGTAGTTTCAAATGTTTCTCACATTTATTGTGTGCTAGAATGTACCAATAAGAATTTAGTATTAATTATATGTATATTAAATGTTATACATACTTATAACTTATTTTTTTTGGAAACTAATTAAATTCGTCATTAATGTCAACAATAATATTCTTTCAAAATGAATTCATATCTAAAAGAATGAGAGTGTATTCCAGCAGAATGAGAGTGTATTCTATACACTCTCGTTCTTCATATTCCATGCAACTTTATTGTATTTTAGGTGAGTGAGTCCTGAAACAAAATACGAACTCATATATAAAACCTAGATGCGAATTCATTCTGAAAGAATGTTATTGCTGACATTAATGACAGATTTAATTAGTTTCCATAAAAGGAGAATTATAATTATAGATATCATTTAATATAATATAATTATGGAAATCATTTAATATCTATATTTATTTAACTAAATAATTATTTAATTTACAAAATTTCTATTGGTGCATTCTAGCACACAATAAATATAAGAAACAAAATAACGTAGCCCTATATATATATATATATATATATATATATATATATATATATATATATATATATATATATATATACACACACACACATTAGCCTTTTACCCACGCCAAGCAACGGGTGCGAATAGTATTTTTATAAATTAGTTTCTAGAGACGATTAGTTTTTACGCAAATAGTTTACTACAGCTAAGATAAGATTCATATTTACAGAAACGAAATCAATAGAAATTAAAAATGACAAGTTATGATTCTTTAAAAATGTACATGAACACATGGTTGATTGTGCCTTATTAATCACAACATTTGATGTATAGACGTCATTAGATGATGCCACATAAAATTGGCAATGCGAGAAAACCGATTCTGAAAGATAAATACTTACATTTGGAACTGTTCGTCTCTAAGCTTTATTGATTGTCATCGCGAAACATAATCGAATGGGAAATTGTTTTCTCTTCGGTTTGAATGGAAACATATTATCTTCAGACAGACATAGATGAATCCTTGGATTGGAGTATGTGTGGAAGATTTGCAATAAAAGTTAAAGGTCATTTGAACCGGTGGACTGGACCTGGACCTGGACCGGTTTATGTAATGGGGGCGATGGTTAGATTGCCAATTTTGCAGTTCAGTTAGGCGGTTTGGGTATTGGACCTGAAATTGTACCATAATTTTGCAGTTTGTTTAGGCTGTTTGGGTATTGGACCGAAAATTGTACCATACATAATGAATGTTGTACCAGAAACAATGAATGTTGTGTCGGTCCAACAAAATAAATGTACAATACGCTTCATCGACAATGGAATATTGTACCGGTATAAAAACGGATGAAAAATTAAAATAAAGATTCATAACCTTTCATCACAAAGTTGCGGCTGACAATCCGAGTAGGAAATTTAAAAGTTGATTATATTATATAATAAAAACAAAATAAAAATTCATAACCTTACATACAAAAAGTTAAAGTTTATTAATTTTAATAAAAGATTTTCAAAATTCAAATAATACATAGAAAAATAATCAAAGTTTTCTTTCCTCAATAGTTTTTTTGGGCAGTAGCCAATTTTTTAACAATAGTTTCTCGCCGGGTAGTTAATAGTTTTGTTTCAAAGAATAGTTTCTTATCATAAAAAATATCATATTCAAAGGAACACATCATGCTTTACCTAATATCATTTACTTTTAATGATTAATTTGTTTTTGATGGTCGACGAATATTACACTATTGGTCATATTTATTTCTAATCGTCGTATTTATTTGTCGTAAATTTGAAATAGTAAACTTGAAATAGGAGCATATATACAAATTACAATTTTATTTAGAATTCATTATTATTTTTCATAAATTACTAAATCTACTTGTCAAAAATATAAGGTAAGGAGTTAAATGTGCATACCTTGTAATATTTTAATCGACTCAGATAGTTTTTAATTTTTTTTTTGTAACGCCTGGTTCCCAGTATGCATTTAAATATGAATTTTTGCATTTTTACACTGGAACTCGACGAGTTGGAGGCCCCAACTCGTCGAGTAAGAGGCGAATCTTGGACGCGGGTGGAAGAGTCTACTCGCTGAGTCGGAAGCCCCGACTCGACGAGTAGACATGTCTGTATTAAACCCTAAATTTTAGGGTTTGCACCATATTTAAACACTTTATCTGGCCTCCCTCCCAGCCCCCATCGTCTCCCTTAGTCCAGAAAACCCTAACTTGAAACCCTAGAGCATTTTGCAAGTGTGAGAGCCATTTTTGAGGGATTATGTGTGTTTTTGAAGCTTGAGGAGAAAGAGGAAGCTTGGGAGATCAAGGGGAATTAAGTGGATCCAGAGATTTTGTCACATTCCCAGCTTACTTGAGGTAAAAAGTCTGTACCTTGTTCATTCATTCATTAGATCTCTCCATGGAGTAGTTTAGGGCCATTTAGGGCTCATTTTGGAACCATTCGTGGATGCAAGATTGTTTTGGTGTTACGACTTCGGATCCAGAGTCTTAGAGGGACTCCATGGCATAAAGGTGCCAACTTTATGGCCATGAGAGTCCCATGCATCTTATGGAACGTTTTTAGGACTTTATGGACTAGTTAACCCATGCATGCACGTAAAGTTTGTAACTTTACATGCTATATCGATCCTAGGAGGCTAGATCTATGTTCTGGATGCATTAAACCCGACTAAAATCGATTAGATAGACTTGGACTTTGGGGGACTCGGCGAGTCGTTCATGGACTCGGTGAGTCGGGTCATGGTTTCCCAACCTTTTATGTTTCTAAGCAATCTGGTTGAGTCTAGAAGAGGACTCAACAAGATGGACGTGAATATGGACTTGAAGATCGAGAAGTCTCGAGTTCCAGGATGAACTCGGTGAGTTCAAGGCAATGTCTCAACTGTTATGAAGAAGGACTCGACGAGTTCAAGGATGAACTCGGCGAGTCCATGAGCAAATGCTCCGATCTTTATGAAGGAGAACTCGACGAGTTCAAGTGGAAAGTCCCGATTCTGTCATAAGGAGAAACTCGGCGAGTTAGAGGGTAACTCGACGAGTCCGATTGCGAATGCGAGTTTCTCTGAATTATGGAACTCGACAAGTTGATGGATCAACTCGGCGAGTTGAGTCAACCAGGATGTTGACTTTGACTTTGACCTGAGTTGACCCTTGAAAGGGTTATGAGTAGGAAATGGTAATTAAGGAAGGTTGTTATGTGTAGCAGTTTGAGAGGGGTCGACTCCAGTGCCGAGGACAGTTCAGTTACTGCACGACATTGAGGTGAGTTACCTTCCAGTAGAAGTGGGTCTACGGCCACAATGTCGGCCCACTGGTAGGAGTTGTTTGATTAGATGATTGTCTTTGTGATAATTATCTAGATTTGCTGCTGCTTGTCACACCCACAAACCGAAACGGCAGAAACGTTCGGGGGTGGATGATGTCATACGTAGTATCATAACAATTGCATCATAGTAATCAAAGTAAACACAACCATTACATTGAATATATATAAAAGGTATTTACATCTGTTTGATTCATATTCATATACATCAAAAGTATAACAAAATATAAAGACGTGACTCTAAATGCTCCGTCTTCTCAAAAGTCTGTTGAGATACCTGACTACTGATTTCCTGAGAATACAAGCGATTTTGAAAAGAGAGTATCAACATAAAAGATGGTGAGTTCATAAGCAATGTTTTTGTAATGAAAATATGTTGATGAATCTGTGAAGATGTTCGTATGTTTGCAAGAAAATCCAATATTTTCTTTAGTAAAAGCATGATAATACCAATTCTTTCTATGATCACTTAGTTCATACTAGTCAAGTATAAACCAATATCGAACAGACGGTTGATTGTGTGGATCTGCCCTAAGCCCACAACCAAACAAGGAACAGGAAATGAGGCGGAAATCACACATCCCACAGTCTATCGAATATTCTTCATACATAACCCTGATGCATAAACTAAGAAATTATAGAATTAACTAAGATTGTTTGTTACTGTATCCAGTTATAGTATATGAAACATATTAGTTTGTATGCTGGGTTACTACTAGATGTCTTGTAAGATCAGTTCTGTATGAAATCCTTCGTATAGAATGTTCTGTATGAAAAACCCTGGCTACCACCAGTATGTATAATAGTTTTATTACTAAAATAAAACCTTGTATTAGAAGTTCCTGGAATCCTCCAGTTGTGATGTATGATAGTTCTATTAATGAAAATAAAACTAATTGAAGAAATGAATTTCCGTAAACAATTGGTTAGTTTATACTATTGTGAGTTCATATAACCATGCTTGATATGACTGATGACCTCTACGACGTTCTTCAGGCGTCGGACGGTCCCTTGAATGGTTTACGGCCGTGAACGGCCCCTTGAATGGTTTACGGCCGTGAACTGTGTTCTTGAAGAAAATATAAATGTTTGAAGGGTGTACGGCCGTGAACAGATTGCGGTCCTTGAAGATTTTAAGATTTGAAGGGTGTACGACCGTGAACTCAAGAACAACAAAGCTCGATTTGATGAAAAATGGATGTTTTGATGCTCCAAAACGAGTTCCAAGGCGGATAGAGTGTTAGATGAAGAGAAATTTGGTGTTTTCGGGTGACTATTTTTAGAGAGAGAGAGAGGGTGTTCGCAGTCATAAAAGTGTAAATGAGGGGTAGGAGCTCATATTTATAGGGGGGTTCATGGTCGGTGGAGGGTCCACCAGCCGTGAACGGGTTTACGGCCGTGATCGAGTTCACGG